TTGTATCCACCCATTAAACTACCTTCCATAATCCCCCTGCCCTGTATACCCCCTTCCCAGCCTCTAGTAACTATCATTCTACTCTTTACCTCCATGAAATAAATTTTTTTAGCTCACACATAAGAACATGCAATATTTTTTTTTTGTGCCTAGATTATTTCACTTAACACAATGACCTCCAGTTCCATGGATACACCTCCACTGTATCCATGTCACTGCAAACAACAGGATTTCATTCTTTTTTGTGGCTGAATAGTGTGTATATATACATACCACATTTTCTTTATCCATTCATCTGTTGATGGACACTTAGGTTGACTCCATTAGCTTTGCTGTCATGAGTAGTACTGCAGTAACCATGGGAGTGCAGGTATCCCTTTGATATATTGATTTCCTTTCAATTAATACCCAGTAGTGTGATTGCTGGATAGTATGGTAGTTCTATTTTTAGTTTTCTGAGAGGTGTCCATATTGTTTTCTGTAGTGGCTGTGCTCATTCACATTCCCACCAAGTGGGAATGAGTTCCCTTTTCTCAGCATCCTTACCAGCATTTTTTTCCCTTTTAATAATAGTTATTATAACCAGGATGAGATAATCTCATTGTAGTTTTGATTTGCATTTTCATGATGATTAGTGATGTTGAGAATTTTTTCACATACCTCTTGGCCATTTGTGCGTGTGTGTGTGTGTGTGTGTAATGGGACCTCACTATATTGCCCAGGCTGGTCCTGAACACCTAAGCCCAAGTGATCTTCCTGCCTCAGCCTCCTAAGTAGCTGAGATTGCAGTGTGTATCTTTAAAAAGCTAATTCTAAGTACAACTGAGTATAGGATGTCTGGACCATAGATAAAGTTAAGGACTCATAATCCACAGATGAAATGGAAAGACTTAGAGCTGAAGTATAGAAACAAAAGATTAATTAAAACTGAAGGAAAAAAATAGGCATGGCTATAGGGGATACAGATCATTATGGTTATAAGACTGGAAACTTGAAGACAGAGCTTAGTGTTAAAAAACAAGCTCAGTGGGGGATACAATTTTTTAACCTCCTTACTTATTGGTCAGTATTATGCTCAAGGCCCCACAACTAAATGAATGAACCAAAATTTGATCCCGAATGGTCAGACTCCAGAACTTGTGTTAACCATTTACTACCTTTCAAAAGTGAAACAAATTTCCAGATAATGTTATGGGAAAAAATCAGAAAGGGCTTTTTGAACAGCTATTTCTAATGCATGATGAGGTCTAATTCCTATTTCTATTCTCTTCTTTGTCAGTAGCGGATGCTATGGGAAAGTTTTAAACCTGGGCTCCATGGGTGGGCTTCCAAGCCCATTTTCCATTTATGGTCCTCATTTATGCAGGATTCGCATTTGTGTGCCTGTTTCTCTGGGGAGAGGCTATGTTGTCTTTCATCAAATTCACACAGAGATGCTTGACCAGAAACAGCTACACTGTAGAGAGGATAGCAGCTATCACTTATTAAGCTCTTACATTTGCCAGAAACTGTTCTAAGTGCTTTACCTGTGTTACCACTCTATGCAATACAATGCTATGCAATAGGAATTACAGGCATACCTCATTTTACTGAGACTCATTGAGTTTTTTCACAAATAGTTTGTGGCAGCCCTACATCAGGTAAGTCTGTCAGTGCCATCTTTCCAACATGTTCTCACTTCGTGTTAAATTTTGATAATTCTCACAATATTTAAAACTTTATTATTATGACATCAGTTATGGTGATCTGTGATCATTGACAGTACTATTTTAACTGTTTTGCCAATATAAGATGGCAAACTTTTTTGACAGGGTCTTGCTCTGTCACCCATGTTGTAGTGCAGTGGCGCAATAATGGCTCACCACGGCCTCAACCCCCTAGACTCATGGGATCATCACATCTCAGCCTCCTGAGTAGCTGAGACTACAGGTATGCACCACCACACCTGGCTAACTTAAAATTTTTTTGTAGAAACAGTCTCATTTTCTTGCCCAAGCCATAGATGGCAAATTTAATTGATAAATGTGTTTTTTGACTGCTCCAATAACTAGCCATTTCTTATTACTCTCCTCTCTTGGGCCTCCCTAATCTCTGAGACAGAATATTGAAATCAGGCCAATATATAACCCTGCAATGGCCACAAAGTTCAAGTGAAAACAAGAGTCACAGCTGGGCGCAGTGACCTGTAATCCCAGCATTTTCAGAGGCCAAGGCAGGTGGCTCACCTGAGGTCAGGAGTTCAAGACCAGCCTGGCCAACATGGTGAAACCCCATCTCTGCTAAAAATCCAAAAATTAGCCAGACATGGTGGTACACACCTGTAATCCCAGCTACTTGGGAGGCTGAGGCAGAAGAATCGCTTGAACCCAGGAGGCAGGGGTTGCAGTGAGCTAAGATTGCACCACTGTGCTCCAGCCTGGGTGACACAGCACTCCATCTCAAAAAAAACCAAAAACAAGACAGGCCAAAGGCTAGGCCTCTTACACCAATTAACCAAGTGGTGAATGCAAAGGAAAAGTTCTTGAAGGAAGTTAAAAGTGTTACTCCAGTAAACACATGAACAATTAGATAGAGAAACAACTTTCTTGCTGATATGGATAAAGGCTTAGTGGTCTGGATAGAAGATCAAACCAGCCACAACATTCCTTGAAGCCAAAGCCTAATCCAGAAAAAGCCCCTAAACTCCCTTCAATGCTATAAAGGCTGAGAGGTGAGGAAGCTGCAAAAGAAAAGTTGCAAGTTAGCAGAGGTTGGTTCGTCAGGTTTAAGGAAAGAAGCTGTATCTGTTAACATAAAAGTGGAAGGTGAAGCAGCAAGTGCTAACAGAAAAGCTGCAGGAAGTTATCAAGATAACTGATGAACGTGGCTACAGTAAACAATAGTTGTTCAATGTAGATTAAACAGCCTTCTATTGGAAAATGACACCATTTAGGAACCCCACAGCTAGAGAAAAGTCAATGCCTAACTTGTTTCAAAAGACAGACTGACTCTCTTGTTAGAGGCTAATACAGCCTGGTGACTTCAAGCTGAAGCCATTGCTCATTTACCATTTTGAAAATATAGGGACCTTAAGCATCACGCTAAGTCTACTCTACCTGTGCTCTATAAATGAAACAATGAAACCTGGATAACACATCTGTTTACAGCAAGATTTGCTGAATATTTTAAACCTACTGATGAGAACTGCTGCTCAGAAGAAAAAATTATTTTCTAAATGTTATTGCTCATTGATAACGAGCATCAGAGCATCTGGTCACCCACAAGCTCTGATGAAGAAGTACAAGATTAATGTTGTGTTGTTTTCATTCTTGCTAACATATCCATACTACAGCCCTTGAATCAAGGAGTCATTTCAACTTTCATGTCCTATTACTTAAGAAAGAAATTTCATAAAGGTATAGCTGCCATAGTGATTCCTCTGATGGATCTGGTTTTCAGTAAACTGAAAACCTTCTGGAAAGGATGCCATTAAGGACATTCATGATTCATGAGAAGAGGTCAAAATATCAACATTAACAGGGGCTTGGAAGTTTATTCCAAACCTCATGGATGAATGAGCATTTCAAGACTTCAGTGGAGGAATTACAGGTGTGTGACACCAGGCCCAGCTAATTTTTGTATTTTTAATAGAGTTAGGGTTTCACCATGTTGGCCAGGCTGGTCTCGAACTCCTGACCTCAAGTGATCCAACTGCCTCAGCCTCCCAAAGTGCTAAGATTACAGGCGAGTAATTTTAGGAGAGACAGGGTTTCACTATGTTGATCAGGCCAGGCTGGTCTCAAGTTCCTGACCTCGTGATCTGCCTGCCTCGGCCTCCCAAAGTGGTAAGATTACAGGCGTGAGCCATCATGCCCGGCCACAATAAAGTATTTTAAATTAAGGTATATACATTGCTTTTTAAATACATAATGCTATTTCACAAAATAGACTACAGAATAGTGCAAACAGAACTTTTATATGCATTGGGAAACCAAAAAATTCATGTGACTCATTTTATTGCAATACTAGCTTTTTATGGTGGTAGTCTAGAACTGAACCCACAGTATTTGAGGTATGCTTGTATTAATCTGCATTTACAGACAAATTAAGGCACAGAAATGACCTTTCTGTCACTTCTGCTAGAGTGAAAATTCAGATAATGCCTCAGCCCATGCTTCTAACCAATTATACTGTGAGTGTAACATGCTGGTATTCTCAGAACTATTTCCTTTATCCAGAACAGTGTTAAGATTTTTTTTTTTTTTGGTGATAGTTTTCAGAAAGGCATTTAGGTAAAGCACAGTCCTCCCTGTTTTACACCTTCTTACTTTACACATTTACCATCACCTGCCAAACCACTCATGTTGACATGAAGCATTTCTATTACAGAGGGTATAGTTGCATCTCACTTTATTTATGTATTTTTCCTCTTCAGGCTTTGAACGCTCCTACGTTAACGGTTTCTTCTCCAGTGAGTGAGTTGTAGTTCTCGCACAAAAACATTACCCTTCCAGTCACTAGTGTACTTAAGCTCAAGAGAGTAAGACTAGTAACGATTAAAATCAACCTCATGGCCAGGCACAGTGGCTCATGCCTGTAATCTCAGCACTTTGGGAGGCCGAGGCAGGTGGATAATGAGCTCAGGAGTTTGAGATCAGCCTGGCCTGACCAACATGGTGAAACCATCTCTACTAAAATACAAAAATTAGCTGGGCATGGTGGTGTGTGTCTGTTTGTAATCCCAGCTACCTGGAAGGCTGAGGCAGAATTGCTTGAACCAGGGAGTCAGAGGATGCAGTGAGCGAGATGCCACCATTGCACTCCAGCAGCCTGGCAACACAGCAAGACTGTCTCAAAAAAAAAAAACCTCACAACAAATTTTAGCAAGGTAAGTTTAAGTCTTTTAAATAAATACTGGAAAGATGGTAAAAGCAGCTTCTGTTGGAATGCTTCCTGATTTATGGACCTTTATTTAATTTGTTAAACGAGAGCTGATGAAAATACTGTCCCCAAAGTAACAGTCATAGAAACATGTTACCTATTTGAAAGAGCAATATCATTAGTTAGTTACAAAATTTAATTGTAAGGATTAAGCAGTGAATATTGGTCAAACCAATCCACACTGACAACTTTGAAGTGTTCAGATGCTGATTTTAAAATAAATGTGACAAATAGCAATCAGATTTTCATAACACTGTTCAGGATTCACATCAACTTGATTATGGACATAGTTCAATACACAAGGGTAAGAGAAAGACAGTGTGTAATCTATAATTATTATACCAGAGGCATAATTTTTTCAAATCACTTTTAGTAACACAGAATACATTCTAACTTTTTAAAGTCTAAAGCTACATAAAACTCAATGCAATCTATTTTTCTATCTGAGATCAAAATGAGTTTCCTTTTTTGTAACAAAACATAATTCTTACCATTGGGGTAAATCTGAATTCACGTGGTATACTTTGTCAAACTTTTCCAAAAAATTTTAAGCCCTGTTTTAGAGAGAAAGTCTTATGTTACACATATATTTACATATTTTTTTCTTCAAAGGCTAATGACAATGTATGAAGTTAATAGGCCTATAATGGAACCATGATACTACTAATAATGTGAAACAAAAAGCCACTCATTTATACAAAGTGTTCCTGAGTGGTGCAATAAGAAATGGGATCACAGATTTATGTACATATATGAATCACTAAGAGTTCAGAAATTAAGCTAACTTTAAGAAAACTCATTCTATAATTTCTCTTTGGAGTAGAGGTTGCAAAACTGTGATTCCTAACAAAAATATTGTATATAAGAGCTCCAAAACCAAGCATTAGCCTAAATTGGCAATAACTGCAACTTAAAAACTATATCCAACTAGATCTTCACTGTGGTTATGCAACTTTTTGCTTAGTGGCCTGAAGGTTTTTACTGAGTCGACAACCTCTTATCTCTTGCCCCTCCCTCTACAAAAGCAAAAAAAAAAAAAA